GATCTATACTTCGAATTTAAGAAGATCATCTACTTCTATATAATGTTTTATATTACAATCGCGAATCACCGTGTATCTATTATTACAGAAACTAAACCAATGAACGCCATGGGCATGCAAATGGGCAGCACTATGTCAATGGGCAGCACCGGCTCGACAGAGACCGAATCAAGCCTTGAGTCGTCCTGCAGCAAGGATTCCGCGTCGACGTCATCATCTCTGTCAACATCGTCCTGTGAGCCGGCATCCACCATTTCTTACGGATCGGCGATCGGTGGCGGATCCTCCAGTGTTACCAGCAAAACGACGGAGACTTCGACAGCCACATACGCGACGCCGCGTAAGGATGTCGCCAGGACATCTCCGATCGCCAGCACCGATCTAAGCACCGCCATCACGCAGGAGTTGCAGAGGCGAGCGCAGCAGGTAAAATTGATTGACATTCAAGATAAACTCACGTATCTCGGATTTTTTCTTCTGTGAGATAAGATCGCTAAACCACGAGGATTGAGAGTAAACATGAAGTAATTTCCAATATAGTTTTTATAATGCATTCTTATCGTATATATTATTGCATGATTGCAATCAAGATGCTTCCTGTCTTCTCTCTCGTTGAACATAATTTTTTCGTAATTTTTTAATCTTAATCGTTATTTTGCAGCGATATCTTTGCCATTGGTCTGTTTATCTATGATATCTTTTATATTTTATATTTTTCATGTCTGTCGCGATAGAAATTGATGAGCATTATCAATCAGTTGAAGTACCTCGCGACATAATGTACTGCAAAAAGTTTAATCTTTTATCCATGGACTAGATTATAAATCTCATTAAATAGTTAGAAGTTGTTTTCCTCGGTATTAACTTCTTCATTTTTTTCTATACAGATATATTTTTAGAAATGTTGAAATTACGTTCTCTATGAGTATATTTATTATTTTTATTTTATCTCGAGTAATTATTAATTGCCTTTAATAATTAATATTTTTAATTTATCGTTATATTTATTATATTTCATCACATATCGCGCATTATTTTTCTTTCTCACAGAGAATGAATAATGCTGCTAAAGCAGAAACATTAAAGGAAAAGACTCCGGATAATCGCAAACCTCAGAATCCTGAAACTCTGAGATCACAGGAGCAAAAAGTCACACATGATAAGGTCAGTTACTTATAATTACGTATATATAATTAATTGCACATGTATAAGGAATCTATAAATCGTATGCAATCCAGCCTTAATTATTATTATTTATACTGATGCCTCATTACGAATGCATTTTTATTGATAAACGTTTTTATCTTTTTTATTTCTAAAACTCTTTAATATGTAGCGTGAACTATATGTTAAATTCGCACTAATATCGTTATACACGTTCTGAATATTTTAAATCTGCTGACTAAATTCAAAAATGTCTACTATAAAATTGATATTTTATTTTTTTTTTTTGTTTTTTTCTGTTTAGCTGATGGAGGAATTTAAACGTGCACACCAAAAGATGTTCAATTCTGCTCAACAAAAAGTGCAGTCCTTGGAACAGGTGCCCAAAGAAGTTCAGGAGAAGGTAAAAAAAAATTATTTCATTTTACGTATTATTTAAAAATTGTGCAACTAAATTTTGGGATACAATAAAATAATATTCTCTCAACTCTAAATTTCAAACTCTAAAATAAAATATTCTTTTAGTACTTTTTGAATATGTTTTTACGTATGTTGTAATTTGTACTGATCTGTATACAGAAATAATTAGTCGTGAATTTACTTTGCCATGTGGAATTTGAAATACATGAAGCTCCAACTTTCATCATGCGATAACAATAGTCTACCTGACGCCAGTCTGATGTACTGTTCAATGATAAGCGTATCTTTCAAACCGATTAGTGACGTAATATATTGCATGTTATAATTGCAATCAAGTATTAACAACATACATAAATCGAGGTTGCCATAATGTCAGCAATAAATTAAATTGATCTTGCAAAATGAATCAATTTTAGACGAAACATAAATTGAATTGTAAAAAGTCAAACTAATCAAAATTATCAAAAGTTATCGACGAGTTCAATAAGTTATCAAATATTAAAAAATTAAAAGCAATTGAAGTATAATGCAAGGTTTCACTGATATCAATTACTATAATTTTCCGAAGGTGATAGTAATTAACAACGTAAAATTAACAACGTAAAATTGCGCGCGAAAGGATGATATATAACGCGCTCGAAAACAATAGCCGTTTTAATCATATATCAAGTTAATTTCGCTTTAACGAGATGTCGAAGTGAATAGATGGCGAAGATATGAGATCTTTCGACCCGCATTCATCTTTTTCTTGCGAGTATTTTCAAGGCGTAGCTAACTGGCGGCTCGAATAGCGAGTTTTTAATTACACAACCGCTAAGCAACGATCCGGCGGTGCAAACAGATAAGAGCACGAAATTATGAAGACTCCGGAATAGTCGTCGTCGGTGTGGCATATAGACTACGTAATCATCATGTACGTGTGCGTGCGTGCATGCGTTGCTGACGCGCCGATATATTTACTTGTATGTATACCTGTGGTGCACACATTGGCTGCTCGGTAGTATTGTTGAAACGTTGAGAGATAGCGAGCAGTTTGCACACCTTAAAGTCACGTATGTTCCAACATTTTGTTTCAGTTCTTGCATTACCACGCGGCAAGTAAAATGTACGAGCGATATCGCAGATAGACCGCGTTTGATCGCGGAAGTAGTTTATACGTAAATTAATTATATTAACTCGAGAGCGCATTACAATCATTCTCAATACATCGTTTTTGACGTAGAAATATTTATGACAGTTTAATCAACGAAATAATAATAATAAACCTGCTGCGGAAATTAATTACTAATAATTATTATTCGAAAGCTATATTCAAAACTAAGCGGTATCTTGAGTGTCTTCGGATTGCCGGGATAATAGGAATAACGGGAATGACTGTCTCTCTAGATTAAAACGTGTATCTCTAGATCATAGTGTGTTGCAACAAAGTGATTTCGTGCGCGTATATATTTCTCATTTTTCGAAGAGAAATCCGGATATTATTTTCTTCGAGTAGAGTTGAGCGTGTTATCGTTGATAAATCACTGCTTTACTTTTTCCCGCGAGCAGGTGATTGTTACACAAGCGAGAAGGTCAATTGACAGCTTATGTTACCGTCTTATCATCCATTAATCATCGTTATCGAGACTTTCGTGGATTCATTCGTCGTAAGACCGGCGACGGTGATTATAGCATCGTCACGTCGTGTACGAGGCATCCGATACTGGGAGTTGCAACGCGACACGTCGCGTCGCGTCGACGCGAGGTCTTGTGCCACATTTTTTCCTCACAGCCTCGAACACTGCAGTTTCCTACGAATTGTGGCGGATGTGCAAAATAATAGGGCTTACATAAGAACGCCGGCGTAAGGCGACGTAACGTGCGCTCTTCTTGCGTTCCTTCAGTTGCCCGTCCGCGGTTGTCGTGTCGTGCGATCGGCGGTCCGCGAAATAAATACCGCAAAAACGCGTGATCACCATTCGATCGTGATTCGAAGAAAATAGCAGGATAGAGAAGTACATTTTGTAGCAAAGAGAGGAGAGAATATTCGAAACATCAATACGTAAAAAAAAATATTTTTATCAACACTACTAATTCTATTTAATTGGTTCTCCGAAAAGGAAAGAAGGAAATTTTATGAAAAAAATTGAAGATTTTTAAGATATTAAGAAATAAGTTCAATGAACACTGCCATAAATAAGATTGTTTTGTAATGTAATCTATATATATTAGAGACAAAGTCTGTTTCGTACATGTGAAATTTAATAGAAAATAATATATGTGACCGTTCGATGTATGATGAATGTGAAAAGTGCAAGTAAAAAGAACTAATTCACGTGAAGAGTGTATGAGAATACATGATGTATTAAATTTCTTGTATCACTATTGCTACAAATATTGTTAGAAATATTCAGAATTAAATATGGATAAAAACTCGAAGATGAATAATACAACCGATTCAATAAGGAAACAAACGCTGGTCACAATCACTCCTTACAACGTTAGTAATTATACAAAACAATCAGCGTTAATATACAATTAGCATTAATATGCAATTTAATTTACAACTCTAGCACGTGTGTCCAAGGATAGTTTATTAATTTGTGAAACATTTAATATTTTGTTGTCGACAAATTAAGAATACATTTTGAAAATATAACATATTCTATTTTAGAACATATATCTTAATAATTTTTAATTATAGTTTTTTTAAATTACGCGTAATGTGCATATAGAAAAACACATATTATTATTTAAATATTAATTACTTGTTTTAAATTTTAAAAATTGATATTTTCAAATCTACAGTATATAATCTGAATCTTAGTAAATTTAATACTTCAATCAAGATTATTAAATTAAAACTTTGATTTGCTTATATAAAGTCGCTTTTCAATAAAATTTTATTCTTTGAAAGAAAATAAATTTATGTTTTGAATACATAATAACGAATTTTTCTCTTTTTAATAAGTAACTTTAAGACTGTTATTAAGAAAATATTCTTTGTTAAAGATAATCGTTCTTTAAAAGAAAAAGAGTAAACGGATTATTTATAATTTTTTTAGCAATAGAATGATACTTTTATGTGTAATAAATCTTTTTAATATCTAATTTTATTTTTGCACAATGTTATAATTTTAAAAATTGTATACATATATAATATATCCAAACATAACAAAAACTGCAAACTTTTTATTAGAACGACGTAACAATACATTTTGTTACATTCTCAGGAACAGCAGAAGAGAATGCTCAATGAGACAACGGTGTCGACAACAGCAGGTCCTCCAGTACCACCGCCAGCGCCTCCGCTTCCGCTTCCTTCTAAAAATCAGAACAGTGACGATTCAGTGGAGATGCAAAGCATTGAATCGTTCAAATTGAAGGAGACGCCCAATACAGTGCCGAAACCACCGCCAACGTACTTCCCAGTGACGAGCCCTTCCTCGACGAACAATAGTCCGCGACACGTTGGTACTGCAAGCAAGATTCCCAAGGACGTCGCGACAAGTCCTGTTGCAGAACTCGCAAAGAACTCGGCTGCACCGGTCTCGCCGATCAACAGCGCTCAGCCTTCAAAGTTACCCAGCGGCAAGGTGGCCATCAGGATAGGATCATACGAGGGTGAGACGAAGCAGCCATCCAGGTTAGAATTCTTGCCACAACAGCCGAGTCGCGACAAAAACGGCGTTGACGAGTCGGACAATAGCCCTGTCGTATCCAGGTTGCAGAACGAGCTTGCCGCGACGCTGCAGAGATCGAACCTCAGAAGAAAAACTGAAGGCGTAAGCGATACTAATAAAACAAAATCATGAATTACCGCAGAATAAGATTAGTCATACGCTCAGAGAAAAACATAATATGATAGTAACTATAAAAATGACAACTACACAAGTTTTTTATATAGAATAAATGTGTGTGTGTGTGTGTGTGTGTGTGTTAGGTGTGGGAAAAAATTCGTGGCGTTTTTCCCGTTAGATGACATTAAAAAAACGCCACGAACTTTTTCCCTAATACATATTATGTTAATTCTTATATATTATAATATATATCTCTAATATATATTATGTTAATATATCAATTCTATATTTGTATATATTTATATATAAGCTTATATAGTTGTCATTTTTATCTAATTCATTATTATCATATCTTTTTCTAAGTGTAAAAAATAAATCAGTGAAAGAAATTAAAACTTTTATCATTATAAATATTTCGACTGCATATTTTTTCCTGAACATTTCTGGAATTTATCGAATTATTTAATTGTCAATTTTATATAGCATTTTATATTGTAATTCTTTCTAAAAAAAAATACGACATTCCGAAAAAAAATGAGAACTTGTTTTTGCATTTTAGGAAAATCAGTCGCCCGTGAAGACTATTCATGAGAACGCAGCGACATCCAGCAATGAAACAACGAATCCAGAACCGAACAAGCTTCTTCAGAGCAACATCGAGAAGCTTGCTTCCGCTCTCAGCAACAAAGTCACCATTAAAGTGAATCCGGAAAATAGTAGTCGATAAGAATCGAGTCGAAAAGACGTAGTAACAATCATCTTGTATCTTCGTAAATTTTGTACATTTTTGCACGTTTCGCTAACACCATTTCGACTTAATTATATAAGAAAAGGCACTCTCCCTATTGGCGAGATTCTTTTACACCTACATGTTTTTATATCTTATTTATTATCGTATTATACACCGAAAGTAAGGAGCTAATTCTTATTAATCGAGACGAGGTTTCACGACCAGTATTTATCGCGTAGTCTTAAATGTAATCTACTGCGGCTATGTACGAATCTTAACGAAAAATTCGACGAAATGTTGAATTTTTAAATAAAATCGACGACACGTAATAATATAATAATATTTGATCTTGAACCTCTTATCGATTTCCTAAATTAATATACGAAATCCTTGAGGCATTCAAGTTTTTTTATTAATTAAGATTAAGAACATTGTGGCCATGATTAAGAATATACCTACGAATTTTATTACGAATTATGGACATAAACATAATAACCAAAAAATATTAATTTTACGACTTTAATGTTAACCTTTCAGAGCTGACACTGGATCTATAAGACTCATTTAATTTAATTAAAAAGCACTAATTAATTTCAAAGAACTAAAATGATATACTCGTGTAAAAAAGTAAAAACTAAATATATTTTAACAAGAATAATTTAAATTTGAAACATAAACATTAAAAAAATTAAATGACATTTTTTACAAAAAGATTTATGATTATGAGATTATGAGATCTCTCCATTCCTCTCTCAAAAAAAACACGCGTGCGTGATACGTAAAGTGCTTAATTTTGAAGCATTTGTCTCCATAGCACTCGATTTTGGTCAACCTCAGAGGGTCAGTATTGCATGAGCATATTTAAGTATTACACACTTATAATTTTTTAGAACGTTTCCCGAGAAGCGAGAAGTTGTCTGTGAATAATGACGGTACGCATCTTCCCCTGACGTTTCGATCAAGGAAGTGTTAATCCAGCACGGTTAGGTACTGGGAGGTAAATGAGCGCTTTAAAAATCCCTCGTTCATGCAGAATCTCATAGATGATTCGTACGGTGCGATACCATCCCCTTCCTCGCCACGCGAGAGAAGCTATCCATGAACGCGTCACGTGGAACAAGATTGTCCGATCGGTCGCAGAGTAACAGAATACATAAATTATTGCTGTCGGAGTACCACGAGTTCTCTGAGACTATTTTGGTGGAGTCGCCGTTCGCGGAGACCACGAGAAACGGACGAGGGATTCGTCAGGTCTCTCTGGGTCTTACACCGACTAGGTTGATCGTTGCTGCCGACATTCTTCAGACTAATCCCGGTTTCTTTTGCCCGTCTTATATTGACGCTAGTATTGAGAGCTTCGAACTCGTATCTGTGTATCCCTTAGAATATGTTACGCTCAGTGTGTTTAGGAGAAGACGTCGCAGGACTCTGAAGGCAAGGTATACTCCTTCAGACAAAGGGGTATAAAACAATAGTCTCTATTTTTTCTTTCCTCTTGCAGAGCCTTTACACTCGTAACTCTTAACAATAGTATTGATATGTATTACAATATCATTGCGCAGATATTAAATATGGTAAAAAAGCTGTACAATGATGATACAACAATGGTTGTTCCAAAATTTATTGTCAGTGCAGAAATATATATTTATAGTGCATGTAACGTAAACTATAAATTTTCAATGCTGAAAATTTTCAATGCAGTAAATTTTGGAACATAGCCGATATTAAAAGTTACAAGATGGGAGCCCTGAAATTGAAAAATACAAAGCAAATACTTTAATCAATTTTCTCTTAAAGAAAGTGAATTTTTACATTCGATTTATCTTAGATTTATTGCCCTAGATTCATTGACGGTCGAGTTAATTATTACGAGCTCGGTGGTGAGCGACGTAGGGTTCCTTGGAAAATCTGGTGCGAGCAAATACGAAGATTACTGACATACAAGACAAACGGTAGCTCGTTGTCTGAAACGACAGCAGCGAGCTCGTCGAGCAGTAGCGCCTTATATTTGCTATCATCTGAAATAGAAATCAAGAGTAATCGCGATGCGAGATGCAAAAGATCGATATTCAGGTGATGATCGATGTAAATTAATTTTTATCTTTTTACATTACTCATATTTTTCGCGAATGTATTTAACAACTAAATTTATTTTTATTTATTTAAATTTATTTTTATAGGCGAATTTAGAGTCGATTTTGTGCAAAAACGTTTCAATTCTTTTGACATCATGTGAATAATTGTAATTAGTATTTATGAGTTCAGTGAATCTGAACATTGTCTTCAACATATGTTTTGAAAAATGTTCATAATAAATTTTTTATAACCTCACAATAATTTTAAATTACATAATCTTATTTTTCGGATTTTGATCTCCAAAATGAAAGAGATCGTTTAATTATATTAATTTCAAACAAAAATACATTAATTTAAAATACACCATAAATATTAATTAGGCAATTTTTGAACGAATACTGATTAGTGATAATATCATCCAAAAAAAAAACGCGTACAGAGTATGGAGTCATTATGGAGGTGCCGGCGACTATGTTGCTCCAACATGGACCGAGAAGAACTTGTATCTCGGACCGAGTTACAATGAGTTGATGAACGGCAATTACACACCGGTTCCGGTGAGATTCGCTGGAGCCAGCTTAGAGGATCTTAGATACGAGCTAGAAGATCGCACATCGCGTTACATCGCTTGCGAGAAATCCTGTCACAGTTGGCCGTGTCAGACAAAGTTTGATGGTCGGGCAAGATTTCAACGTGCCGGCGGACTCTGTAATGTCCTTTTCGCAAGAAGTCGCAATGTATGTCATTGCGATTACGCCGCAAGTTGCAAAAGTTCGCCTTGCAACGTCTGTCAACTGGATAACAGTGTCGGCATAAATGTTCTTGGAAAGCACAGCCGATATCACGGTTAGATTTGCGAAAGTCATAAATTTTCCTTATCTACTTTCCTTAGATACGTTTTAAATTCAAGTTTCCCTAATAATAGAAATTTAACCCATAACTGGAGCGTAACTGGGTACTGGTGGTCCCTGGGAATAATTATTTCAATTTTATTCTTCACAGTTTTGTTCTTTTATGTAGACTAATTATCGTATATTTATGATAATTTCAAGTATTCTAATTTTTTATGTAAATGACATTTTTTTATTTTCTTTATATAATAACTTTTAATAACATAAAGACTTTGAAAATTTATTTTTAAATATATACTTCTGTTATGGGTTTAAAAAATTGTAAGAACAATAATATAATTTATCGATTAAATGAATCCAATAAATATATTAGAAATGCAAATATTCCAAACGAAATACATTACATTATTAAACATTCAAAAACATTTAGAACGTCGAAACATGTTTTTCGAAGACGATTTCGTAGAGCATGTGGAAAATAAGTATGGCAAACGCCAACAACAATATCAGAATGAACCGAAAGGGACTTTAGCAAAAATATCGCGTTTTGGCTTCGGTGTGTCGGAGAAATGCAATTCCGAATTGATTCTGGGTCCTTATCGCGGTGATTCGGGCTACAAGGATGTCATTGATGCTCGTAAGTTGCTCGAGAACGGTGTAACAATTTGGGAGGACAATTGTCGATCCTTAAAGGGTCAGAGACATCCGCGAAGATACGGCTTATCTTCGGCAGCGCATTTTTTCCATGCGCTCGGCCCGTGGTCGGTGCAACCTGGCGAGCGAGAATCCGTACAGACTCTCAGATCACCGAGTGCGGTCAACATTCGCAGACAGCCCTCAGATCCGGAGCTGAGACTTCCAGTTTCGCGCCGCCAGTTGACAGCCAGCATCTCTTGCACTGCCTTGACCCCTGGCGGATCCAATATTATTGGTGCCGTCACTAGAGGACGAGTGATACTCTTCTGGACGCCAGAATATTGGTACAGGCCTCAGGCAGCAGTGGCTGCCTACAGGTGATACAAAAAGAATATTTGTCATAAAAGAATATTTGTTTTAAAAGCTATATAAGAGTCAATATAGTTTACTTGTTGTTTATAGATAACATTACACGGATCGTTAAATCTTTATTGCATCCATGTAAAAAAATCTCATATTTTCATTTTAATGTTAAAAAATGTTTCCTAATTTGAATTTGACCATCAGTTTTCAATGTTGAATACAATTAGCAAAAATCGTAACGCTTAGGTAAGCCATATTGGATACAATCATTTTATACAATCAATTTATATTTTAACTAACGAAAAATCAATTCATTAACTTCTTCTTAACTTCAAAAATTTTAGAGTGAGAATTTAATTTTAATTGTCCAATTTCAATTGCATTTTTTCATTAAATAATTTGAGAAGAGATCGTTTGTCGAAGAGAAAAAGAATTATATATCATTAGATATCAGCCTGTAATCAGTTATGTCTTATACAAAGCATCTTATGACAGAGAGCTAAGGCATCATTTAGCGTCTCTTCAGAATTTTCGACGCGGGAAGGAGAAGCAATCGAAAGGAAAATTCTTCTACCGACGAAAAAATCGGATATCAAGCGAGAATGACAATACCGAAGTTGCGATTACAAGAAAATCCAGCAGTCTCTTGGACCGCGTGCTTTCTATCAACGGCGCACGCAAACGCAATGGAAAGACGAACAGAAACGTCAATGTCGAGGAAGGCACGGCACAATTGCGGAGATTGTTAAGGATGAATCTTCGTATTACCATGTGGGACCTGGATAGCACTACCTTCGCCACGCAACTCACGTCGATCGATCGTGATCTCTTTGTTCGCATTCCCACGACCGAGATTGAGGCGCTGATCTACCAGAGATCGTCGCGCAACGCACCGAATTTGGGTGCGTGGATCGCCTTCAGCCACCGGATCGCCTGCCTGACCGTTAGCGAGATCCTCGCGATTAAGCAGCTCGACATGAGGACTAGGATCATGACGAGATTTATCAATGCCGCTGACAAGTGTCTTGCGCTCGGCAATTTTCAGTCTTGCAGATCCATCCTGGCTGGTCTACAGGCTCCACCGATTTATAGGCTTCGGAGAAGCTGGTCGTATCTGAGGACGCATCACGCCAGCAGGTTTCCTCTCGTTTAAGATCCATTAGAATTTCCTAATTAAATATCAAAGAAAAAAATAATTCCTTTTGATATTTAATTAACAACATTTATCGTAAATCTTTCTTATGAATAAGTTTATCATATATTTTTAATGCACAGTCAAAACATTCTGTTAAATTTAACACATTTTACGTGTGCTAAACAGTCCTCATTCAAATTTAAAATATAAGATAAATATGTTACGAAATAATATAAATTATATAAAAATTAACACAAAAAATGTAACATTGACACAATTTGCGTAAGCACATTTCTTTAGTAAAATTTACATTTATAATATGTTGCAACATTTTATTCATTTATCTTAGAATTTATGTTTTAGAATAAATTATTTTTATGTTATTTGTTCACTTACGCATAGATTGTATTATTTTGACATAAAAAAATATTGGATATTAATTTAATACAAGATATTCAAATAACAGAGTCACGTTAAATAAATATTTGATATATTAAAAATTCAACATAAAAATTTCAACAAGAATTGTTAAATACAAAATGTTTTTTTTTATTGTACACACGAATAAATTAATAAATTAATAAATAAAACCTGAGAAATACTTCTCGATTCTTCCTTTGTTAATTACTCTGTTTCAAAAAAACAAAAAATGTTTTAGTACCGACAACCATATATGTTTTAGATACGCGACAATGGAGAGGCTGTCCAAGATTTATAAAAGCCCACGATGTTCAAAGTATCGAAAAGTCTGGACCGTAGCAAAACGTAATCCACCTTGTATGCCATACGTTGGTCATTTTCTGATTAAGGTTCTGGGATTAAATAGCCTGAAAGAAATTCAAACGAATTTTGCACCGTTTTTCACAAAGAAACAATTAACCGCGCGAATTCCTGGGACTTCAGAGTCTTTGTCTATTAATAATAACTTCAACGATCATCATTCAAGAGATGACAAGAATCTAATAGAATCCAAGCAATCTTTAGCTAGGCGCATTTTTACAGCGACACTTACTAAGATGAAATTCACGACCCACCAGAACGTCACTGATGAAACTAAGGGCGATGTCTGGACGTGCGGGCAGCGATATCTTGCACGCAGGTTTTTTAATCGTTGGCGCGTGTTTACTTTGGAGATGAAAGTACGCTCGCAAAATAATAGGAAATTGAAAAATGCAGATTTGAGGAGAAGACGCGTTATCGACAACGCAGCCTGGCTGACAGACTGCCAGAGATTCGCGTTGGGCTACAATTTTCCATTAAACTCTTTTGCATGCGAATATCTTCTGAAGGCGCGTTACAGAGAGGACCGCGAAAACTTCTTCATCAGTCTCATGCTGGAACCGCCGAGGACAACTTGAATCTGCATTGCAAATCAGGATTACATTATCGACGATTGATGTGCAATCGCCAATTTTAATTATTATCATGCATTCATCTCGACAGAGAATTGTAATTATTTTATTATTTCGAGCGCAACAAAACAGATAAAATATCGATATATTAGCAAAGTGCGCTGATTGTTTATCCGTAAAATATTCTCTTTAAGACAATGATGACATACTGGAATGTTCAGTTATTTACGATTTATACAGAAATATTTTTACTCAATGAAGTATCATCTACACGCTTTGTACGATTATTATTGCTATAAACTTTAATAATACTTTAATAAATAAAGTTTCGGATATCTCCAAATATTAGATGATGAGTACTAATTGATATTCTACTGTATACTTCTACTTAATTTCTTATAATTTTTTGTCTGAGAAAAAATTAAGACAATTTCTTTATCATCGTTTTATTCCGAACATAGTATATACAATTGTTATTTTACACATATTATATGTGTGTATATTATACATATATAAATATATATGTATATACACTTACATATATAATATATTATCTATTAAATTTCTCAGTCATAAACTTAAAAAAAGAGTGTGATGGTCGGAAAAGTGAATCTCTGAACTCCCTGAATACATACCAGATTCTGACTAGATAACAATGTAGTTTCGTGTATGTACAATTGAAAATGAAATATCTACGTTATCGATTTAAAAGAATAAAAGTAATGTAATATACATATAATAACGGACAAAGGGAACAGTCTTTTTCTGGCACAAAATCGAACGTAATCCTCCATCGATCGTGTCGCAATCATCGAAACCAATCTTCGAAATGTACAAATTCTCTTTTATATATATATATATATAAAAGAGATATTTGTAATTCCAGAAAGATCCCGCTCGAATGCGCCCCCAGGATAATTATCTCGCAT